ACGACATGAAGTTTATTTATTAAGCGCAATTGTGCTAAACTTTTATCTCACAAAATGCATCAGGCCTGATACTGCATTTGTGATGAATTTGCTAGCAAGATTTACTAAATCCCTCCTTAGAAAGATATCGTGATAAATATTGAGAATATCCCATTATTCTTCATGTATGTTGAGTTATCTTTGGACTTGATATATGATATTGGTGGATAAGGACATCAATTGTATAATTGATCCCCGAAGTATGGGTCCTCAGTTGGTTATATACCTCTCAAATGGTATTAACTTTTTACCATTGGTTATTGAAATTTCCCTATATTTATCCAGAAGATAACTTGGTTTGTGTTACACAAATAAATTATAAAATACATTTGATCATATTTTTTGAATCTATATTAACTCCGGAAGAGCAACAAATGACGATTTTATGTTAGAAACTCTTGCCTTGAGGGGGAGCAACATACAATTATGAATGTAACTATACAGGTTTTCCCTTCAGGGGGAGCGATAAATAAATCTCGAAAATCGAACCCGGAAGGTTAATTATAATCCTGAAGATTAGGCACTGTTGGCCGGTGTTGTACTCTTTTTCCCTTGACTAAGTTTTTTTTCCCATTGGGTTTTACTTAGTGATGTTTTTAACGAGGCAGCATGTGTAACACATAAATTTGCATATATATGTACTCTTTTCCTCGACTGCTTTTTCCTACAGGGTTTTGCAGCGAGGTTTTTTAACGAGGCATAGACATGATGCGGTAATGTCCAAGGGGGAGTGTTGTAAATATTAATTTGTGGACATTACTTAGATATAAGCTTTGTAGGTATGGGTCAGGAGCCCATTAGGTCTTTAGTCATGTACATTGTATTCCCTTATATATAGGGCTCAAGTGAATGAATAAGATGGGGGTTTTAACGGCGTATCTCTTCTTTCTTATTCTTCTCTAATCCTTTCTTTGTTTTTCTATCTTACACATGGATCTTACATATTGTCAATATATATTACAACATAGATAAGATAAGAAAGTATTTATAATTTTTTTTTTATTTTACTATACATAATAAAATTTATTAACATGTTGACGTACATTATTTCAAAATATATAAAATTTTATAACTTTCAAACTATTGACGTATATCATCAAATTAAAGTTGGCGGCGGTATGACGGGCGAGACAAAATTGTAAACTTAATAAAAGTTTGGTATTTTTTTACTAAATTGAAAAAATTGAGTTTTATTTGCAATTAAACAAAAGGTTAGAGTTTTTTTATGTAATTAACCCTAATTTTAATGGCAAATTAGTAATACAATAATACAATCATATTTATATTTTTTTATGTGTATCTTAAGTATGTTTTATATTTCTCATTAGCCTGCTCCAATTGATATTATACATTAAGTAATTTTATCAGTATTTTTACTTTTGGATTTAATGAGAGTTATAAGTTTTCTCATCATTCTTACCTCTTATTAGGTTATTATAATACTAATAAAATAGTTAAGGACCTTTCAGAATATTTTGTTTGTTTTTAAAAAAATTACCTATTATCATAAATTAAACGTCAATTACGTTGAATGTGTTATATTTTCTATCATATTAAAAATTTTCATAAATTAAACAATTTTTTTTTTTTTAGATTTGGAGTTCTACTTTTACTACAACAAAATGAGAAAATTCCAACGAAAATTACAACAAGAATATAATGATTTTCTTATGTTGCATTGAGAAAAATCATGTCTTTTGGTTTTTTAGATATATTTTACCTTATTGTGACTGTATTGATTTATTAAAATGTATTACAAATACGAAAGGTGATAGATTATGTAAAAGTATACTTTATAAATTGTAATGACATGTTATTTTGATGATATATTTTTTTTATTAACTAAATAATGCCCCAAATATCAAACCATTTTGGATTTATCACTGCAATTAGCTTTCCAATGCAATTTCAATTGAATTTTTGCACAATACCAATGACAGTTTTTCCAACGATTGAAATATAGTCCACAAAAAAGTCCAATATAAATTCAGGTAACTGAAATTTTTAAATCCACTATAGTTCATGTAATTTAATATGAATTCTGTTGGAATAACCAATGAATTTTTCCAATAAAAGCAATATCTATGATATATTCGTTAGAATTTTCAGTAGAATACCTTACTGTTGAATTTTTCATTTCAATATAGCAATTTTTGTAGTCCTCTCAAACATTAATTTTGTATATATGTAGTATTTCTTGATTAATTGTGTTTACAATTTTTCTATTAAAAATATATTAAACACATGAACTTTTTAGTTCTTATATTTTTTTTCTACATTTAGTAACTGTGTTGGCTAATTATATAGTTGATAGATTTATTCTCACGTTTTCTAGTATACTTGATAAATATCAATGCTACGGTCTAGGTACGAAACAATTCTGTCGAGACTTGTAACTGTTAGATTATCATAATCGTCCGAATAGTTGATCTACGGTTACAAACCCCTACAATATTATACTACTTGAATTAAGAAAATCATATATAAATAACTTAAAAAAGAGAAATATACTATTATTTAAAGAAATAATGGTAATGATTAAATAGGTTTTCCAAGTAATTAATAGTTTTCAAGCTCAAACAAATAATAGTTTTAATGCCCATATCATAATTTTGTATTTAACAATAATTTATTTATTTTTTAGCACAGTTGATTGATATGCTTTTTAAAGATGGATGTATTATTATTATTTTTTTTCTCTCTTTAATATGTGTTGTAGGAATTGAATAAAGTTGTGGAAAATTATATTATTAATTTTGTTTAAAACGACACTCGTATTACACTAAAAAAAAATATTCGAGGGCTAAATTTGATGCAGTGGCGCGCATCTTTTTTCACCACACTATAATGACATGATTGGTATGATGAAATGATATAGGAGTTAAATAATCATTTCGTTACTCCATGATTTCAATATTTTTTAGAAATAAATGATCATTCTCATATATTTAGGATTAAGTTTTTTAAAAAATTAAGTCAACAAATACCCATAAAAAATAAATAAGATGCTATTAACAATAAAAGAATATATTATTAAAAACAATAATAAAAAAATACATTATTAAAATAATTTTAATATTACCATACGTAAGAAAATAACATTAATATAAATATTATATTTATTGTTTTATAAAATAGCGATGAATGATAATATAGGATGATAATATCATTCCATTCAGGTGTCATTCCTTCTGCATGCCAATCGCATCAATGGAAAACTTGTTTTATTCATTTTCCGTCATCATTTCATTCTTCAACTCATTCGATTACTATCAAATTTCATTTTATTATACCAATCCAACCATAAAGATTTATCAAGTTATACACACCGTTCGTTGACAATTTAACTTTTTTACTCCAGAGCGAAAGGTGATTCACCCCACTATAAAGATTTATTAAGTTACAAATTTACTTTTTTACTTAGTGCAAAAGGTTATGCTAACGAAATGCATAATTGTCGCATATCAACTGCATAACTGTAACATATCCATCGCACAATGTTTCACATTTTAACCTTTTCCCCCAAGAAAGTGCGAAGGGTTACCGCAAAATGTCGTATATTCATCGTATAATTGTCACTTTGCACTTTTTGGGGTGAAAAAAGTAGGCTTATCATCGAGCGATGTAAAGTACTTAATATATTTTCTTTCCAAAAAAAAAAAAAAAAGCTAATTTCACTTTATGCAATGTCAGAAACAAACAATATTTACATCAAATTAATTATAGAGAAGTACAAATTTTTGTATAAAGTAACTTGACATGTCATAAATTTGTAAAAGAAAATCACACTTGTATTATAAAAATCATTCTTTTGTTTAGGTTGTTTCTTATAACATGTGATATCAATTTAAAAGTATGCATATCTATTGAAAAAATAATTAGTCTGCCTAAGAATAGTAGAGATGGTAGCTTTTGGTTGGTGTATAAATTTTTTATCCACTGTGAGCAAAAACTGCACATTCAAGAACAAAAATGGGATTTAAAGCTGAAAACTCGAGAAGCTCATCTCTTTTTCATAGTGTCTACAAAAGTTGCCCCTCCAAATGACAAGAAACTAACACAAGAAACATTATTCTAATGTACGAACTAAGACAAGAAACGTTATTCTACATGTATAGGATTAAAAACGAAGAGCCCAACGATAAAATAACAAGTAACTAAGATGGTTAGAAATAAGCTTTCGCTTTATGAGAAAATAACCAACATAAGCGCGTTTCGTAAATGAAAGTACAGGCTAACTCATACATACAGTCATAGACAGGAAAACCTCACGAACAACTAACATGATCGAAGTGTTTCCTCTCTCAGTCATCACTGACTAGCAATAAAACGGACATTGCATGGTTAAATAATACCAACACTTGCCAAGGGAACTGCAGCATAATTTCATACTTAAATCCATACCTTCATATTTAAAATCGGATGTTGAAACCAAACACATGTACAGAGAGGTCCAAGGAGTGGGTACTCATCCTACTAGTTGTAAAATCTGGAGACCGTATTATGCTTTTGCTCGAGAAGCCATATACCTCAGTAGAATTTTGGAGTAGTGGGTGAGTGTGAAAAGCATTTGTAGAACAGCACGCCCTTTAACAATTCCTTCCCTCATGTTCCTTGCAGTTCTAGCTAGAACGGGGCCGGCTACCTGAGGTTTCATTGGGCCCACGTCCTGCACAGGTACTATACAAGTAAAGATTAAGCAAAATATCCCTTGGCATAAATTCTTTCATACCCATAATACACAAGTGGCCATGTGTGATTCCTCAACAGTGATATTCAATAAATTTGGGAGATAGCTCGAATTTCTTGTAATTAAGCATAAACCTGATTGGTAGTTTTTATGGTTACTCTTAATTAAGTAAGCTAAATTATAGTAATAACCTGTTGGATTGATGTTTGTCAACCGTCTCAATCTTTCTTCCGCCAGACGAACAGCACGAGTCGAACTCCGAACTCCTTGTGTCATTTCCTGGCTGTAAATGGAATGGAAAAAATCTATTTTTATGCAACCTTAGAGGATTTGGTACCTGGAGAACCAATATATATGTTAAATAAATAATAATACTAACCCAAGGTCACTTAGCTCCATGGTTAAGTCACTGATCTCCATTCCGGATAATCGAACAGCGGCCATTGTGCCAGGTAATTCCTCCCTTGTGATATCCATAAGCTTCTCCAGGGACTCAGCAGCTCTCTTGAAGGCCTTCATTGAACGATATGAATACTAATCACCATGGGATGTGAAAAGGAATAACACTGAGTAATTGCCCTCAAAGTTGCATTTTCAGTACTATGATTTCTTGTTCAAGTTAATTGCAAACTGTATTTGTATTTTTCAACCACTATGAATATGTTATTTAGGAGCTCCAACTACTACTATCACAAATGGTTATATGTCACAGAAGACACTGATGAAGTATAAAAGAGAAATCTCTCATTACTCACCAACTTAACAGGCGACCTCAGTTAAAGCTGCCATATTTTCTTGAATGTGTTATTCTTAAAATTTTTGTCCATTGCAAATAGAGCTGGAAGAGTCATTGTTGACAATTCTCCTGGCATAGTGCTAATAATGGACTAAATCAAAATGGCTCAATTAAATTCTAGTGCTTCTTCTATTAGTGAAGTTTCTAGAAAAAATATATCAAACGACGCAATGCACCTTGGGTCGCTACGGAAACAGTCTCCTTGTATAATATTAAGGGTAAGGTCTGCGTACAACTGACCCTCCAGACCCCAACCAGTTGGGAATATACTGGGTATGTTGTTGTTGTTGTTATTCTTAAAATTCTACAAAATATGAATATGAAGGGTAATAAAACAAAAGGATCACAAACCAGTAGAGTTGGAATTGCTGAGCAAAACAGCCACGTTGCAGAAATTGCTGCCTGAAAATTGACATAAAACTTTAAACCTTAATATGCTCCATTACAAACTGATGCACCTCAAACAAAAGAACACACAAAGTAACACAAGTGGCTGAAACTTTTAACTTGGCATCTTAGTTTTGCCTTTTACATTTTGCACCAAAAACTGAAGTAAATGCAAGATTGATCTCCCTAAGTACAGGATTAGCAACATAGAGAAATCATTAGACTTTACCAACCAACACAACCGTTAGTAAGTCTAGGGCACATGAAAAACTACTAAAACAATGTATATACATACAGGCAAATATAATGCAATCAGAAATTCAATCTTTTAATTCATAAATACTTTCTCCTGACTTTATATAATTCAAAATTGAAAAACTCCATATTCATCCTCAGACAGCTATAACCAAAGAAGAAAATTACAATTTAGAGGAGAAATTGTTCTTGCACCATTTTTCTGGCAAAGTGAGAGGTTTATGGGTATGTATTGATGTTTAGATATAATCTCAAATAGTTTACACTCCACAAATAGAACTTTTTGCCAAAATTTCAAGACCCAGTAACTTCGCGTTGAAATTTAACACAAGTACTATACAGCCTATGCAGTCATGGAGTAAATTGCTATACAGTTATGGGTTCAGTAATGTCACATAGGTTTAAGTAGTATAAAAACGTGTTTGGTTACTGGGAAACTAGCAAAACATCATTTTGTTTAATCAGCATTTCTTGTATTTCTAGTGATGCTCAACATTATTTGAAAATTGCAAAAATTTTCATGGCTTAGTTTGCTGTTAATTTTATAATCCCTCGCATAAATTTAAGAAATTTACTTAGTCTTAGGCTTTTGCCAAGATAAGAACATTAGTAAATGATTGGGAAGGCCAAGGATCATACTGAAAATTCAAATCCTTCCACATATTGTAGAAATATCAAATGCACAACATGCATAAAATCAAAAGTAATAGTAGTTTTTTTTTTTTTCCTTATTGAGAAAGAAATAGATTTTTATTAAGTTAAGATCAATAACTGATAGTTCAGTTTTGAAATGTTCATACGTAGCTGTATCGATTTGGTTCATAACCTGCAAGCTGTATTGGGTTGGTTTTTGTCATCAGTTCTCATATTTCTCAAGAATGCAAAACAATAAAATAATATACACTATCTATACTCATCTTTCTTCACAATTATAATCAAAAGACCTAACATCACTCACTTACATTTTGTTCTCCTTCACTCAGAACATAGAACACCTATAGTCCTCAATTGTTAAGCAAAGCATGATCTAAGAACTCCTATCATGCGCAATTTTGTTTCGAAAATCAAAATGCACAAACTGGGTCGGAGCAAATTCTAGCATCATGTTTAACAGACAGCTACCAGCTCAAGCACACAATA